CTTTCCCTTTTTTATTTTTGATATGATGAGTTACCTCTTTTTATATTGTGTAGTTATCAAATTATAGTAGATTTAGTTATTTTGAAAACTTTTTTCTTTAACTTTTATACCATAGTTAAGTAGTTAATAAGCCATTCTATTACAGAATTAGGGTTTTCTAAATCTGACTGTATTTTTACTAGTGTGTTGTATACTTTCATATGTTTTTATGTCATATGATTAGCATCTTTTCATTTCAATGTGAAGAACACCTTTTAGCATTTCTTGCAAGGCAGGGCTAGTGGTGATGAATTCCCACAGCTTTTGTTTGTCTGGGAAAGTTCTTATTTCTCCTTCATACCTGAAAAGTATCATCACTGGATAGAGTATTCTTGGCTGGCAATTTTTTTCTTTCAACACTTTATTAAAGAAATCATTAAATTTCTTAAAATTATTAAAGAAGTAAACTTTCTGCTCACTTCTCCCTGTCTCCTTCTTCTCAGATTTCAATTATTCTAATCTTTATACATTTGATAGCATTCCATAGATAATATAGGCTTTCTATATTCTTTTTCATTCTGTTCTCCTTTGATTGGGTTATTTCAAAGTTTCTGTCTCTAGTTCACTTATTCTGTCTTCCATTAGATCTACTCTGTTGTAAATGATCTACTCTGATGTAAAATGAAAGATTGCATCTTTCATTTTATTCATTGACTTCTTCAGCTCCAGAATTTGTTCGCTTCTTTTTTATGATTTCTGCTGCTTTGTAAATTTCTCATTTTGTTCATATATTTTGTTGAATTGTCTGTGATTTCTTACATATGCTTGAGTTTCCTCAGATAGATATTTCGAATTCTTTATCAGCTAGATTGATAAATTATGTGCTTTGAGCTTGGTTATTAGTGGACTATTGTTATCTTTTGGTGATGACATTTTTTTTGTTCACATTCTCTGTAGATTTGCATTGCCGCTTTTATGCTTGAAGTAGCAGGCAGCTCCTCAGATCTTTACTAGTTGCCTTCAAGTGGGGTAAACTGATTGTTGATCCTGATATATCTGGGGTTTTCTCTGCTCTTGTATAAATATACCTGTTCCACACTTCTTGCTTCTTCTTGTGACACAAATCTTAAGCTTTTAGGTCTTCTCTGATTCTTATAACCCACCAGGTTATTTGTTGTTAACTTCTTTTGTTTTCTAGAAGGTGGCACTATAGCTCAAGCTTGTGGTTTCTCCCTTGCCCACAGATACTGGTCTGTTTTTCTGGTAGCACTCTGTTTACCAGACTTGCACTTGCCACCTCACTTGGGAGCACACACAAGGAGCTGGTCACAGAGTGGGGGGTAGGTATGGGTTTAGCACTCAGAGTGTTGGGGGTTTCCGTGGACTGGGTGGGAAGGTTGTCGGTGAGGTTCTCCCATAGGCTTGAGTGTACTTCCAAAATCCTGAGCTTAGCAGGAACTGTATCCTTTTCATGCTTTTTGATGTTCTTATCTGCCTTTCTCCCACAGTCTCCTCCTTCCCAGCCATCATAAAGATCTCACCTTAGTACTCTGGTTGCTGCTGGAGAGAAATGGGTTTCTCCAGCAACATCTGCCTCAGTGAAGGTAACTGGGCACTAACTCACCACTTCTCTTCTCCCTCTTGGGATAAGATGCTGCAGGATATAGTTCAGCCCATGCTGTGTCATGTTGGGGGAGGGGCAGTGCTGGCAAAGTTCCTCTTATGTTCTTCATTGCACCCAGACTTATTTTTCCCCCTTCATTGCATGCTGTTGTCTCCTTTTAGGAAGGTGGGATTTCTACAATTTTTCTTCTGTCTGAAGGTATCTTCTCAGGTCAGCACTATCTACGTTTTCCCCAGCTTCAGCTCAGAGGGGTTGGGGCAAGTTTACTGGCTCCAGTGGCTCTGTAGCCTGTATTGAGGTGTATCTGCCTATTACCAGATGCGCATGTGGGCAAGACTCCTCCAAGGTCTCTTAGCATCTGGTGCTGGATACCACAGCTCCCTCAGAGGCACTTTGGTTTGGATGGTTGCCTAATTAGTTTTTACAAAGGGGGACATAAAGGAGTGTTGTGATGCTGATGTCATGATGCTGACATCAACTCTGCTAAAATTTTTCAAAGTGATTTTTGTTTTTCTTCTCTTACCCTTTTTAATGGAAAAATAATACCATATACTCTTTTAAAAGGAAGGCTCTTAATGAAATCCTTTCAGTTGAAAATGTCTGCACGTAAGAATAAAATCTGGCCCAACACCTGTTTTGGTACAGCCTAAGAACCAAGAGTGGTTTATAAAGATGAACATTAGCAATAGAAAGAGAACACTGACTTTGATGTTATTCCCTCCCAAAGAATTCCATTCTTCTCGTTATTAGACTTGTATTACAAAAAAAATTGTATTCAATTATTACTAGTATAATTTTTTTTACAGCTTTATTGAAGTTACTATTATAATTTGAATTTCTACTGATTCTAAGAGGATCACTAAAAATCCTTGTGTTTTGGGATTATTTTTACCTTATATGGGATTATTTTTTATCTCATATAGGATAAAAATATAAGGGGTTTGGCATAGATGGAGAGTCTGGGGCCTTCTTTAAGTGGATTGTAACAGGTAATATTAGCTACTGAGCAAAGTAATTTTTGGTTTTGCTTTGTTGTCGTTTTTTTTCCCCCTTACATATATCATGGCATAATATAAGATACAGTTTCCTGGGTTAGGTACTGAAAAGATTATGCACCCAATTTCCATGTGTGTTTGGGATTTGTGCCACAGCTCTCAAATATTCTGTACCTGTTTTTCCATTCTCTTTTCTCTTTGCTTTTTAGATTGGAAATTTCTATTGACATATCCTCAAACGCAGAGATTCCTCAGCTGTGTCCAGTCTACTAATGAGCCCTTCAAAGGCATTCTTTATTTTTTTTACAGTCTCTTTGATGTCTGGAATATCTTTTAATTTTATTTTAAAGACTTAATTTTTTTTAAGAGAAGTTTTATATTTACAACAAAATCGGGAGGACGTGTTTTGTGCCAGTCTCAGTCTCAGTCTGTTGATATCCAGTGTTGTGTCTTCACTGGCCCTTGTGGTTCTTCTTATGCTTGCAAGATGCACTCAGCAGTAACCATCAGGAAACTTTGAAAAAAGAACAAGGGCCTCATAGGTCCTAAAGGGTACACTACATACCTGGGGCCACACAGTGAGGTCATGGGTAGAAAAAGAGGGGTAGCTGTAGGCCTGGTGTTCTGCTTTTATTGGAGTCAAGGGTGGGGGGCCTGGGTTTCATGGGTTCACTCTTTATTAGTGAATTTATAAGAGTGGGAATTTAAAGCAGAGGAAGAGAAAAGCAAGTGGCCCAAATGGTCAGTTATCTAAATCAAAGATACCTGAAACAAAGGAGCCTGGGGAGAAAGGGTACAGCCTGGCTCTTAATCTAGTTGTGTGGCTGGCAATGTGTTCTTTTCAGCGAGCCATCTTTGATGTGGATGCCTCTTTGAAATGGATCTGGGCAATCAAAGTTGAAGTCAGGCACTTGCATTACAAAAAAAGGAAAACCAACTGTCAGGGTTTACCCTACAGAAAGATTACAGAGATTTCCAAATACTCCCTTTCCCCCACAGGTGCATGGCCTCCCCAATTATCATCATCATTTATCAGAAAAGTACTTTTTTTTTTTAATACCAAGGATGAATGTACATTCATACATCATAATCACCCAAGGTCCATAATTTACCTTAGAGTTCACTCTTGGTGTTGTACATTCCATGGGTTAGGACAAATGATAATGAGATCTATCCATCATTTTTATATCATGCAGAGTATTTTCTTTACCCTAAAACTCCTCTTTGCTGTTTGGCATTTCTTTTTGATTTTTTCTTGGAATTTTTATTTCCTTACATTGCCCATCTGTTTTTGTGTTTTATCTGCTTTTTCCATTAGCACCTTTAGCATATTAATCACAGTTGTTTTAAATTTCCTGATCTGATTATTCCAGCATCCCTGCTACATCTGAAGCTGGTTCTGATGCTTAATGTGTGTTTTCAAATTGTGTTTTTTTGCCTTTGAGTGTGTCTTGTAATTTTTTTGTTGAAAGCTGGACATGATGAACTGACTGTGTAAAAGAAACTCTGATAAATAGGGTTTTAGTAGTGTGGTAAGATGTAGGGGAGGCGAAGCGTTTTATAGTCCAATGATTGTCTCAGTCCTTTAGTGAGCCTGTATTCCTGGACTGTGAACTTCAAAGTGCTTCTTAGTCCTCTCTCAGCCCCTTAAGTTGGACACAATGGTTAGAATAGGATGTTTAATAACATATGTCTCTTACTCCAGTTTGGTTAGGCTCTGATAAAACTCCAATAGGTTAGCCTCTGATAAAATAGTTTCTCTTGACGTCAGACCTTGTTAAGAAGAACAGAGTTCTCTGATACATTTCAGAATGATTTCCAGTATTTACTGTGGGAACCTGATTGAGCTCCTGGAGGTAAAGCTCCCAAGTGTGGTGATCCGCTATGACTATTCCTTGTCTTGATTTCGCTGCTACAGTAAGATAGCCCTGTAAAACTAGTAGGCTCTAGTTTTTGAAACAACGTTATCTCAAACAGTTTTATTAAATTTAAACTGAAGCAGAAATTTATTTGGTTGAATATAAGGAGATTTATTTTAGCTGCAGTTTCTGTTTTTGTGTCTTTCCTTTCAGTACCTGGACCATGAAACTGTTTCAGCCACATTTGTCGACAGTAGTGGACAGCTTGTTTCCTCCCAGGTGACAGGAATTAGCCGGAATCCTTACTGTGGCTATGAGCACCAGACTCTGTCCAGCCGGGAGCGCATGGAGGAGGACTCCTTACTGGCTGCCTCACAGTGGCAGGTGCCTGATGTGGGCCCAGTCCCCTTTTTGAAGAGCAGTGACCCTTCTTCCAGCTACTTTGTCATCTTGAACTCTGCAGCCTTCTTCAAAGTGGGAAGCCAGCTAGAGGTGCTGGTTCATATACAGGATTTTCAAAGAAAGCCCAAGAAGTATGGTGGAGACTACCTGCAGGCCAGAATCCACTCCCCGAAGCTGCGGGCAGGGGCCGTGGGCAGAGTGGTGGACTACCAGAATGGGTTTTACAAGGTCTTTTTCACTTTGCTCTGGCCAGGCAAAGTCAAAGTGTCCATAACTCTGGTCCACCCCAGTGAGGGAATCAGAGTTCTTCAGCACCTACAAGAAGAGAAACCAGACAGGGTCTATTTCAAGAGTCTCTTTCGTTCAGGAAAAATTTCTGAAACTACCGAGTGCAATGTGTGTCTTCCTAGGAGTCTGCCCCTGTGTAACTTTACAGACCTCTACACCGGAGAACCCTGGTTCTGCTTCAAACCAAAGAAGCTCCCGTGCAGCAGCAGAATCAACCATTTCAAAGGCGGGTACCTGAAGGGACTCCTGACTGCTGCAGAGAGTGCTTTCTTCCAGAGGTATGTGCTCCTTGCTCTAGAGGGTAATTTAAGAGTCCCTGTCCACTGTTTTTGGCCCATCTAGGGGACATGTCCCATTTTGGAGACTTTCTTGTTTTGGTTATGTGCTGCTTATTTCTCTCTGAATTTGGCCCAATTCAGGAGAGGTGGTGAATAAGAAAATACAGATTCGTTTTGTGACTTGTGTTTTAAAAGTGAAGCTTAGTGCTTATTCCAGTTCAAATTAAAGACCCTTTACCCTTGAATTTTTTTTTTTTTTTTACCTACATATCTATGTTTTACTTCAGAACTACGTAGCACATCTATAGCCGTATAAGCAAGATCACCTATTCACAGAAGAGATAAAAAAGTTATCCAAGAACCGGGCTGCTAGACGTCTTGTAGTCAGGGCAGTGTTTTAGCTTTACCTAATAAACTAAAAAAAAAAAAATTTCAAATGAGATTTTGTTAAAATCATATGAACATTTATTGACAGAAAAAAGACTGTGAATATGGCAACATTGCTGGGTTGATTGAATAATAAGCATGGGAAGCCAGGAATACCACAGCAAATTAAGTTAACAGTTTTGTATTTTTGAACGTAAGTATAAAATTTTTTCATCGAAATGATCAATATATGTAGTAAAGCATGGTACATATGCACTGCATTCCGTTCATGCAGTGATTCCATGCATGAACGGAATCATGGGATGATCATTATGAATTAAAATTTCTGTTTTCTTAAACAGTCCATATAGTTCTGAAGTAAAATAACATTTCCAAGAAATGAAAACTTAAAAAAGTTACATGGTCAAAAGTACAACTATTTGAAAGAATATAAAAAATGTTTCTTATTTTTAAATGAAATATGTACTTTTATAGCATTCCCTGGTAGAGAGATATTTTTGTTGTGTACATCTAAGCACTCTGAGGAATTTTATGTTTTATGTCCACTCATTACTCGGTCAGGGAGAAGTTCCTACCATAAGGTATGTGGGCCATAGGAGCTTTAAAAATAAAACCCTCTCGTTTTCCACTTTTAGAGTCACCTTCTGATCATAACAGTTTTAAGTACACTTTTGAGGGACTCATGCCATGCTTTCAGAAGGCCAGCAGAGGGAGCACTACTCAATGTGTTTACTGCACTTTTTTTGATCAGACTGTCTAGTTTTTTGTATGGCTTAGTACAAAAGGACTTTAGCATTAGTTATTTATTTATTTTTTTAATCCTGGGTTAAATCTCAGACATTCTATTTATTGATGACTATAAGCAGATTATTTCATTTCTTGTACTTTTTGCCTGTATATGAAGACTACTTAGTTTACCCCCTTTTAGATTGTGTCGTCAGTTCATTTAGTGGCCTAGCAAAGATGAGAAAGCAAAGCTTGTAATTTCTGCAGATTCCACGTAGGAAAAAATGAGATCAAGGTGAGAGAATTAAATTAGTGTAAAATTTAAAAATATATCTAACACCAAATTCTATCACCAAAAACGAAAAAAACACTTGTGAATCCAGAAGGATAAAATAATGTGTGTCCCTGCTCTTACTTGCATATCCTGGATGATGGCATTCTGTAATAGAATCATTAAGAAATTCTCCTTATCTGGAAGTTTGCAAGGAAAACCGTGTTTGAGGTGGCATAAGTTTCTGGAAACCAAACATTTGACAGACTCCTAATACTGATTTTATTTTTTGCATTGTTTACTCTATTAAAATTCTGAAAATTTGTACCAGGCTAACTGAAAAGAAAAAGAGAAAGATTGAAATTGATCATCTGAAGGATCTTTGGGTATACTGGTTTGAGCCTATGGTCTGAATATGTTAAGCTGATACCCATTTTTACCTCTTTTCTTGGTGGCTCATGATGTTGCTTAATTCAGAAAGGATTAAGAAGCCTTGGTCTTTGGGTTCCTAAATGACAGATAAATAAAGTGATTTAATTTTTGTTTTTTACTATTTAGGGCAAAAAAAGTATTGGTTTTGGGAAAAAAACAGCAGTACTTTGCTTATAAGATTCTATTAATACAAGGGAAGAGACTTTTTTGAAAGAATGAGCTTATCACATAAACTTTCCTTTAGCATGATTTATACTTTTTAAAAAAACTTAAAATCTCTAGTAACACTGCAAGAATAATAGTAATGAGCATCCATATATCTTTAACTCGGATTTACCATCGTTAATGTGATTCTGTCTGTATGTGGGTTTATATGTGTGTCTGTGTATAATTCCCCCTCCACCCCCAGACTATTTGAGAGTAAATTGTAGACATCATGGCATTGAACCCCATGAGTATGCATCTCCTTGGAATATGAACTTTCTCCAAATATAACCATAACACAATTATCATACTTGGGACATTTATGGTTGATACAATACTATTATTTAATATGTGGTCCATATTCAAGTTTCTCCAGTTGTCCCAATAATGTTCTGTGTAGCTGCCTTTTTTTTGTTGTTGTTCCTGGCTTTATTGAAATATAATAGACAATTAGTTGCTCATATTTACACTATAAAATTCAATGAATTTTTTTCAATTACATTTGGCATACAATAATATATTAGTTTCAGTTGTATAGAATAGTGATTAGAGACCTATATGACTCACAAAGTGATTACCCCAGTAAATCTAGTACCCTTCTTCCCTCTACATATTTATTACAACATTATTAACCATTTTCCTTATGCTACACTTTATATTTCCATGTCTAATTTGTAACTATCCATTTGTACTTTTTAATCCCTTTGCCCTTTTTACCATCCCCCTAACCCTCCTCTCATTTAGTAGCCCTCAAAATATTCTTTGTATCTACAAGTTTGTTTCTGTTATTTTTTGTTATTGGTTGTTTTGTTCTTTAGATTCTACATGTACATGAAATCATGTAATATTTGTCTTTATCTGACTAAATTCATTCAGTGCAGTACCCTCTAGGTCCATCAAGGCAATATATTTTTCCATCCCCTTCCTTTTAGTGTGTGTGTGTCTTTTAATCTGAAGTGAGTCTCTTATAGGCAACATATGTAGGGGTCTTGTTTTCTTATCCATTCAACCATCCTATCTTTTGGTTAGAGCATTTAATTCTTTTCCATTTGAGGTACTTGTTGATAAATATGTAGTTATTACCATTCTTTATTCATGTTTTTGATACATGTTTTTTCTTCTTAAAGAAGTCCTTCCATCAATTCCTGTAATACTGGCTTGTTGCTAATAAATTCCTTTAGCTTATTTTTGTCTGGGAAGCTCTTTATCTGTTCTTCAACTCTAAATGATAGCTTTGCTGGGTAAAGAATTCTTGGTTGTAGATCCTGGGTTTTCATCACTTTGAATATTTTGTGCCACGCCCTTCTGTCCTGCAAAATTTCTTTTGGGAAATCGGCTGTCAGTCTTATGGGTGCTCCCTTGTAGGTAACTATCTGCTTTACTCTTGCTGCTTTTAAGATTCTCTTTGTCTTTAACCTTTGGCATTTTAATTATAATGTGTCTTGGTGTGGGCCTCTTTGGGTTTATCTTTTTTGGGACTCTCTAGGCTTCCTGGGATTGCGCATCTATTTCCTTCACCAGGTTAGGGAAGTTTTCTATCATTATTTTTTCTAATAGCTCTTCATGTCTTGTTCCCCTTCAGGTACCCCTATGACTCAGATGTTTTAACCTTTAATAGTGTACCCATAAGCTCCTTAAATTATTATAGTCTTGGCTTCTTTTTTCTTGCCATCCTGATTGGATGTCCTTGGCTTCCTCATCCTCTATATTGGTGGTTCAATCCTCCTCTTTATCCACTCCGTTGATTCCCTCTAATAATAATATAATGTGTTCTTCATTTCTGACTGGTTCCCTTTTATAATTTCCATTTCCATTTTTATGTTTTTTTTTTTAAATTTATTTTTACCTCTTTAAGTTCTCATTGAGTTCATCTACACTTCCCCTAAGTTCATTGAGCATCTTTATAACCAGTATTTTGAACTCTGCATCTGTTAGATTGCTTAACTCCATTATTTTTGGATCTCTGTTCTGTTCTCTCATCTGGTTTCTGCTGCTTTGTCTTCCATTTTGGCTGCCTTTCTGTGTCTTTCTGTGTACTAAGCAAAGCTCCTAAGGCTCCTGGTTTTATTAGTATGGCTTTGTGTAGTAGGTGTCCAGTGGCACAGTCCTGAGAGGGGTTCAGCTGCAGGCCAAGTTTAGCCCCAGCCTGTGCCCCTCT